GCATTGTTAGCTATATATAGAGGGCGCACGAAGCTATTAGTAGTGCAGTGGGGCCTTAAACCACTGTTAAACTGACCTTCAGGGTTTCTGAGGTGAACTCTTTTGCGGACATAGAACAGGAAGGCTATGCTCAGAAGCTTGAAAGCTACCGTAAATAGGTATCCACAAGAGAAGGACACGTTGAGTTGGACAAAGGATAGACATGTAAAGGCTAGAAGAGGGGCAAAACGTACCGCCATGTAAATGCTAGGAAAGAAACACAGATATTTGATAAAATACACAAATTCAACAGGAAATAAAACAGTAGTTTCAAAGGAAAATTATAGCAAAATATTGTTGGTATGATATTTGGTAAGAATTAATTATGTTAAAAAAAGTTATAATAAGCTCCTTTATTGTTTTCTTTTCAAAGTGAAATATCGATTAAATGTGAGTTATAAATTAATTTCATTCAGGGTTACAATCTAAATTCCATTTGCCTTTTTTGTTGTATAACTCCTATTTTGAAACTAACCGAGTTAACTGAAAAAAATTAGTTTGTTAAAACTTAAGCACGAGATAAAACTACACACTCCCATTCTAAAATGCATGTATACGATTCCATGTGAAATAACATATACTCTTTAATATACATTTGTACATTTGTACGATATCAACATTGGTATTTAGCTAGAGTAGTTGCCATGTCGGGGGAAACTTCAGTTACTTACTAGTGAAAGCAACTTTGGATGCCCTCAACTCCATACTTCTCAATTTGCCTGATTGCGAAGGGAGGGGCAGTGGTGTTGATGCCAGCGAATCCAAAGCCTAGGATAATTCGTGCCGTGTAGAAGGTAATGCGACGAATTGGGACGGGTATACTGCAGGATGGATCGATGACCGACCAGTTGAACGTCAGCAGGGGTAAGATTAGGGTACCTAGAAAAAAGATGTATGTACAAGTCAAACCTGTCTACAGCGACCGCCAAAGAAAAACACAAAAAGTGGTCTTTGAAGACAGGCTCCTTTAGTACATGTCTCAATGAGAAACCATTTTCAAGGGAAACAAACAATGTGCTTCTTGTAGACAGGTGGTCTTTGTAGACAGGTTCCTTTAGTACATGTTTCAATGAGAAACCATTTTCAAGGGGAAAAAATGTGCTTGTTGTAGACAGGTGGTCACTAAAGCAGGCTTGACTGTATATGATTGGAGAGGAGGTCTAGTGGTCGTGTCTCCGGACTATGATCACGAGGTTCGAAGCCCTGGCACGTGACTAACATCCGTTGGCAAGTCATTAATGTATATTTGCCAATCTCTATCCAGTTGAAGTAAATGGGTATTCTCTAGAATCATAGTGAAATCCAAAACACAGGACATGTAGGAGTGGTTTGGTTGACCTTTTCTGAAATTGGAGAGTACTGCTTTAAACATGGATATCCTCTTTAGTAAGATGTGATCGTTAATAAAATTATGACCACTTAAATGTGTTTTTTTAATAGCTCCTACGTATAGCTACTTGCGCCCTCTATATTGCAAACAATGCCTAAGCGGTGAGCATTAAGAGCTGATTTTGATGAGATAACCACCTGTCAGTGATTATGCAGGGAGGTCTAATCCCTCCTGGCCATACAAGTGCAGATAGGCTTTAAAGAGTAGACGTCCGATTATGTACGTACACAAGAATTATCTACCGGGTTCCTTTTTTGTTTTACCCGCAAGATAGGCTTATATCCACAACCGGGGTAATTTGAGCCAGTTTTACTTTGTGGAATTGCTGACCAAACGGTCTTTACCAAACGGTCTTTGGTGAAATGGTAAACCAGCTTACAGGGTATCTTCAAACCGAATACGCGGAGCACAATCCCTATAACGATAGAATTGCCGATACAGTGTTTTTCGTTGATATGACAGCACTTTGGTTACAAGGAATAATTATGTTAAAAGTACCACAAATCTAGGCATGTCAAAGGAAAACTCCATTCCAAAATAAGTTTCCTTTATTAAAAAAAAAAAAAGGGGGGGGGGGGAGACACAGACAAAAATAAATCTAGAGCAACAAGTCCGTGAAGGTTGGTATTAATAGATGAATTAATAATTGAGACAAAAAAAATCAATTCGCTCATGATTCTGTAATGCCATTTCCTCACTATTCATTGATTCATCGATTCTGTTGTATATTTTGTAATAAATGTCCTATGTTTGGTCTGTTGAGAAAAAACTCCACCTAAACCAAAAGTGATACTCAATGCTTTGCTTTCTAGCAAAGGAATTTAATCTTATATTATTTTCATTACTTGCATTAAGTGTATCAATAGACTTACCAACAAGGGTTATGGTACTGTAGAGAGTCATGACTTTATACGAATTTCCGTACAAATCCGTCAAGAATCCCGTCAACAGAAAGAACACGGCATCGACTCCGTTAACGATGAGGTTTGATTTTTCGACGTCGGCGGGGTCATAGAGAAGAAACTCCTTTCCGAAAACATCAATATTGGAGATGACGGCGAAGGCGATGAAAGTCGCTGTGAAGTCGGAGAATATGATGCAGGCGGTGTTCAATATGGTTTCTCTCGTGTACGTTTCTCCGTCGATGTCGTCGATGTCGTCGGTCAGGTTTCCTTCAGTATCTGAACGGGTGTCAGGTGAAACGGCATCGACCTCGGGTTCGTTATCCTCCATGTCATCGCCTATTGGCGCAACCGATGTCGAAAAAAGGGGAGGGGTTTCTTCAGGGCTCGCCATGATTGGGATGATAACTGATTCAACTTTTAAAAATGTGCTTATTTCTTGAGTAAGTACTATGGAAAGAATTGTGTCGAGTATCAGTCGCTGATGATGCGATCGAGGCCAAAATTCATTTACCTGGCCTTATGCACCACGAAATTTATAACGTTTCCTCCCTCGAATGAGACTTTTGTATTCTTTCTAAAGATAGACTGTTCTTCACCTTTATGCAGGGAGCTTGCATTTTTTTGGGTTTTATGTATCACTCTCATCTTTCATCGTTGCGTCAAAGACATTTATGTTATATAACAGTCCGTCAACTTTTATAATGATACGACCTACGACCATATGTCATGAAATCTGATCTCTCTCTCTCTCTCTCTCTCTCTCTCTGTTTGCCTCATTCTCTCTCTTGCTCACTCTCTATGACTGTCTCATTTTGTATTTCTCTTTCTCTCTCTCTCCCTCCCATCTCCTTCAGGGGGCTCTGTCTCCATCTATGTCTGTCTCATTCTCATTGTCTCTGTCTCATTCTTTCTCTCTCCCTCTTTGTCTCTCTCTGTCTCTATGCCTGTACCTCTGTCCAGGGGCGTCGCTAGACCTTTTTCAGTGGGTGGGTGGGGGGGGGGGTGTAGAGGCCAACGATTACCGACAAAACTAGCCACCAATTACCGACAAAATTAAACGTCCAATATCTACAAATTTAACCCTTTAAACCTGGGGCCGAAGGCTAAATTGTTTTTCCTATCGACTATCCATAGTACTTGCTATGCGCCAATGGTCATTTTCCTCGACGACATAAATATACGAATTATTTCGTCAACTTAGTCAGCATCATAGCTATAAATTTAAATGCAGGCGCGGAGCTAGGATTTTATTTTAGGGAGGGGCGGTAGTGAGCAAGCGAATCACTTAAAGAGCGCGCCAAGCGCGCTCATTAGGGGGGTGTGAGTGATAGGCCCCCCGCGCGAAGCGCGGAAGCTTAGACGTTTCCTTAAATTATTAGGAAAAGAAAACGATTTATTGTACCATTCTCGACTGTTAATCCTTGTCTGAATGAAGTTTCTCCCCCAACCCCTCCCGCGCGAAGCGCGAAAGCTTTGACGCTTCATTAAATTGTTATAAAAAAAAGACGATTTGCTGTACCGTTCTCGACTGTTAATCCTTGTCTAAATTCAGTTCTCCCCCTCCGCGCAAAGCGCGGAAGCTTTGACGTTTCATTAAATTATGAGAAAAAGCAGACGATTCGGTGTACCGTTCTCGACTCTTAATCCTTATATGAATTCAGTTTTCCCTCTCCCGTTTAGACGTTTCATTAAATTATTAGAGAAAGTAGATGATTCGTTGAACCGTGCTCGACTTTTAATCGTTGTCTGAATGAGGCTTCCTCCCGCGCGAAGCGCGAAAGCTTTGACGTTTCATTAAATTATTATAAAGAAAAAGACGATTTGCTGTACCGTTCTCGACTGTTAATCCTTGTCTGAATTCAGTTTCTCCCCCTTTGACGTTTCATTAAATTATGACAAAAGCAGACGACTCGTTGCACCGTTTTCGACTCTTAATAAACCCAATTTGTCTGAATTCAGTTTTCCCCCCCCCCTTTAGCGCGAAGCGCGGAAGCTTTGATGTTTCCTCAAAGCATTGATATAGTACACGAGGATCGAGCAAGAATACCGACACCGCTGACCCGACACACAGGCCATATATGCGTATCTTTCTTGCTCCAACAACCCCTCTCTCTCTCTCTCTCTCTCTCTCTCTCTTACTTCCTGCAAGTACCCCTCTTCTTAGTTCCCTTAGGCTCTTACCCCCTCTTGCTCCTGTCTTTCACCCCCGTTTCTTTGTTTCATATTCTCTTTTCTTCTTTTTTTCCTTTCTCCTCTTTTCTTTCCTTTCTTTTTTTCCTTCTCTTTCCTTTCTTTTCCCTTTTTTTCTTTTTTCTCTTCTTCCCTTTCATTTTTTCCCTCCCCCTTTTCTCATTTTTACCGACGGCAGCGCAATTTTACCGACAATATCCTGACAGGTGGAGGGGTGTCGCACCCCCCCACACCCCCCTCTAGCGACGCCCCTGCCTCTGTTTGTATGTCTCTCTGTCTGTCTTTGTATGTTTCTCTCTCTATCTCTCTGTATCTCTCTCTCTCTCTCTGTCTCTCTCTGTCTGTGTCTCCCTCTCTGTCTCTTTCGGCGTTTCATTCTACAGACTTTCGGTTCTGTTTCGTTAAACTTGACATTAATAACAACTTCCACAAAATACAAATAAGTTTACAGTTCATCAAATTCAACGTGTTTTATAGTTATTAGATATACAAAACTATTCAAAACAGATTATATAAAATCGGATTATGTGGAATCTGAAGGTCTCTATTGCGTTTGGGAGCCATACCAGTTAGCCCTTTTCCTTTCGTTTTATTTTTTTCACTCTTTTTAAAAATATTTCTGCGGCAAAATTAATGTGGTCCGACGGGGTCTGCTCGCTATTCATAAGGACCGCTATTCAAAACGTGGAAATTCCCATTCCTGTAGGACCGCTATTCATAAAACGAAAAGGGGATCACTATTTATAAAGAAATAAGGCCCGCTATTCGAAAGGACCGCTATTCATAATGTGAGATGAGGGTAGCTATTCATAATTCACATTGTAGGTCATTACTCGTAAGGACCGCTATTCATAATACGAAATTTGGGTCGCTGTTTATTTACACTGGGGGTCACTACACATATTACGAAAGAAGAGTCTCTATTTATAAAACAAGAAGAGGGTCGTTATTCTTAAAGGAGGGTCACTATGCATGAAAGGAGAAGAGGGTCGCTATTCAAAACACAAGAAGAGAGTCGCTATTCATAATACGATAATAGGGTCGCTATTCATAACACGATATAAAGAGGGTCGCTATTCATAATACGAGAATATTTTGTTAAATCATTTTCCTTCAATGTTTATTACTTATTCAAGCACATTAATGAAGAATCAAAATTACAGCATAAAACTATCCTCTTTTGTTAATTAGAAGTTATATGAAAATTAAACCTACTTTGTTCTTAAATGTACATAAAATTAAAACACTCGCAAAGAGAGAAACCAACTCGATAAGTGTCTTAAACGCAAATCGAGAGAGGAATAGAATATAGGGAAGAGAAAAGGATTTTAATAGAGTCAAGAGGAAACGAGGGATAAAGAATTTTGCCAATAATCGATAGCATGTACAACAATATCTTGGAAAAATTACAGTGTTTTTAATCTTCATCATCAGTCAGCCGTAGAAGGCGTCCCTGTCGCAGATTGAGGAAGCCCTGTTGGTGCAGTGGTGGTCGTGATGTTTGCAGTCGTCGTTGTCATCGTACCGCCCGTCGCCCCGTCAACCGTATCTTCATTGCATAAATATTTACCCGCTTCTTCGTAACCTTTCTCTATGAGACAGAAGATGATGAGATTGGCCAGGCTCATGCCGGTCAAGACGAGGAAATAGTAATTGAGATGTCCATCGTTGATCTCGGGTGGATACCATGGGTCAGCTAGATTTTAGAAATTGAAAGTTGAAGAAAAAAATACAATCAAACCTGCATTTAGTGGAAAACTCTGTATAAAGGCCATCTGTCTATAGTGATCACCGATATTGTCTCCCTCTAGAAGGAAATGTGAGTTGAAAAACCTTTCATTAACAAAATTGTTTTTCCCTCAGGCTGCCTTTATAAACAGGCTTGGCTGTAGATAACTAGGGAATGAAATAGGTGTTCTTATCTGGAGTTGCTTGAAAAATACCCTACATGAGATCTTGTAATAGATCAGGGGGCGTTTCACAAAACTTATCATCAGTGACAAATAACAATTTGTGTTATAAGCTACTCAAATCCTTGCTTCTGATTGGTTATCAGATTTGTCACCGAATCTTGATATTTGTCATTGAAAAAAAAGGCTTTTTGAAACGCCCCCTGGTGAAGCGACAACAATACGAAAGAAACTGTCTAGAAGCACTCGGGGAATTATGATTTTAGAATGATCACAATGAACAGAAATTCTCACAAAAGTCAAGTATAATTCACACATAAATGTAATATGGTAAATAACCACACATGTGGCATGAGAGTTTGGTTAAAATTCTTGGAGTAATCCTGATGCACACAATGCGTTTTTCATTTCAGTAAATTATGAAAACCGGGGGGGGGGGGTGTTTCACAAAGATCCTAAGTTGAACTTATCTCTAAGTTGGACTTCACAATTATGGACAGCCATTAGCATCCTTGAAAATATTTGTAAAAGTTATTTTAAAAGGCATAAATGTTGATTCAAATCATTCATATTTTTTATCATCATGGGAAATTTCATGTTCTTGATGTGGAATTTATGAAAAGTCTACAATATTTCAATTTTTTGCTTTTGAATATATTTCATTATAAGACTACAAATGGCTCTCCATAATATTTAAGTCCAACTGAGAGTTAAGTTCGACTTAGAATGTTTGTGAACCCCCCCCCCCCTGATGATTGTTATGCAGTAAACACAAGGTCCCTACAGATCGTTATGACTTTTGCCAGAGTTGTCACACAAAATGTTTTGTATACCACGTTGTTTTATTGTTCATTTCCCCACTTATCTGTAGTAGTCTATGTTGCCTTTGTAATTATATCTTAAAATGCTACGCTATTAACATGAAAAGCACAATAAAAAGACGTTTTAGGATAGTGCGCTGTATAAGAATTTACTGAATAGTATAGTGTTTGAGTGGCGCAATTGCAATAACGCCTCGTGTGCTTCATGAATTAGCAAGACTATATTGGAATGAACCTTACCTGCCGTGACCATGTTTATAAGTGGTACGAGGAGTATGCCCAAAATTTGGCCGATGGTTGCATAAAACAAGAAGATTCCTGTCACCATAGCTTGCATGGTTCTTGGGGACTGCCTGAAAGCAAATTCCAGACCTGATAAAAGAAGATGACACGACATAAAAATATGTTTGGATCACATGTTTAGGAGCGGTTCTATATAGTAGAAGTTTGGTAGGCGGGAGGCGAAGATGGCGCTTTTGTTGTGGTTTCGTCAGAGCCATCTTTACACAGAGTTTGGCCAACTTGGTTTCACTGGGTCACACATATGGCTCCGTTTAGTCTCATTTCACGACGCCCCCTATCGTCAGAGCATGGTCAGCGTCAGCAGCCTAACATGTTAGCCTATGGACGTTTTAAAAAAAAAATCGTTAAAAATTCATTTTTTGTTTAAACGAAAAGCACATCCACCCCGACGTACGTTATCACTAGCTCTTTCATTTGAGCCCTCATGTCTCATTGACTTTTGAAAGTTCACCAACCGTAATTTTTCAAAATAGGTTGCAAGCTCGCCATTGCCTATAATACACATGTGAAACAAGTCTAACTTTGGACTCAGTTTACCAAGCGATTTGAAGATTATAGGTCCAGCACACGAAACATAAAACGCATGAATTATCATAGATCACTTCTGCCTATTTCATTTTGTCCATTTCATCCAACCCCCCACCGTAATTTTTCCATTTAGTAAAAGCAAACATTTTGCCGAGTTTAGCAAAAACATGAATATTCATGAACGGTCAGACAATACAGCCTTTTAGTACGTAACGTATAGTGAATGGGAATGTGCGATGATCCGTTCAGGAGGTAGAGGTCAGTGGTTTGTGCTGGCAATGTTCACGCGAGCGAAAATGAGACAATCGGAGCAATATGACATGGCGTATATTCTTTTTATTTTGTGCTTGCCCAACAAAGCAGTAGTAGTAGTTGCATCCAACTCGAACCAGGTCGGCCTAACTCTGTGTATAGGCGGCTCCGGGTTTCGTCACAAAAAGGCACTTCTCTACTTCAAAGAACTAAGAATGTTTGGTAAATGGCAGTGTGCAGAAATAAGCTATGACTGGAACCTTTTTCAACAACGGCACTATTACAGATATACTGACTGCTATGTGAGACCTGGCTATTTTTCATAGGCTCTAGATTTCTAAACAGAGGTATATAAAGGTATTGATAGGGTCAGTTGCAGTTCATACGCCAAATAATGAAGAATAAAGACATTATTTTGATGCCTGATTCCGCATTTGAACAACGAACGACGTCACTTACTTGCGATATATATGAAGATATCAGCTCCACCCATCAGTACATACTGCGGTATCAGTGTACCTATTGTAAGATTCGAAGCGACCACGGTTTGGTTGTTGACATCCTGGTCGAAGAACTGGCCTCGGTGGATGAACGTCATCCGAGCCGTCTCCACGAAGGCGGCAAATAAAACCGCCAAGGTGGCAAAGACGATCCCAATCTCTGAATTGAAAACATAACATTTTATGAGAACATGGCGGCTTCTTGGGGGCTGACCTTTTTTCGACAATGAAAGCTAAACCCTAACCTTTCTCATTCTTTGGACGGAGGACCGATGAGAGTTAAAACTAAAGCAAAAATTGAGCATGGAGGCAAAACCGACAAAAAAGTTTTAAAAGCCTTACGGGTGGTAGGACCATAAGAACAACGGGCTAGTGGAAACAAGGACCACAAGTTTGACGGATAATGGTCATGGAACCATAAACCGGATCTACTAATAATAGGTATGGACCAAACGTACGAAGGGTTTAGATGTGTCAGAAGACCAAACGCATGAAGGGTTTAGATGTGTGAGAAGACCAAACGCATGAAGGAAGGAGTCGGGTCTAAAGGATAGCAGGGCAAAACAAACTGATGGCATACATGTACGTCATAGGACCAAACGTGAGAAAGACTAATGGGTCCAGGGCCTAATGGAAAGCGGAGAAACGCCCTCTACGACACCCCAGCATTGTGGTCAAACTTTGTCGAATACGCGTACTTACTCATTCGGTTGGGCATCGTCATTGTAATGAACCTCTTACTGATGTAGGGGTAGATGTAAATTTCAAAGACTGGAGCGAGTGCAATACCAAGCAGCGGAAGATATCGATGGAGGAGGGCGGGATCAATATCTTTTCCTAGAACCGTCGGCCTCATGCGTTCAGCCTGACTGATGAAGGATGAGGAGATCTACATAGTATACAACAATAATGATGGGCTTAACAAATATGTCACTGTTAATTATGATTATAATTATGATGAGGGTGATAACAAAAGAGTCGAGATAAAAATTATAAAATTCTTTTTGAAAATGATAACAAACTTACCACAAAAGAAATAACAAAACTAGAATGGTCTTTTTTTAAGGTAGGTAAAAAATAGAATGGTGTGTTATTGATCTACTTTACACTTTAATTGTTGTTTTTCAAAATTTCCATTGAACTTAAAAGCTGAGATGCCGTCTACGCCAAGAAAACCTAAACGAAATTCCATTTTATCTGGCTCCGTTGCATTTACTCTATCTGGGCAAACGCTAAATATCACAAGGTAACGATACATGAACAAAAAAATCCTAAGTTAATAAGTAGCAGCGCTCCCAACATTTATCCTTTTTTAAAAACACTTGCAGGGTTCATTAGGTATAAGAAAATAATTAATCAGCGAATAGTGAGTACCGTCAATCAATTCCGAACTACTGCATGCAGAATAAACATAATGAATTAATAAAAGGTTCATGTTAGGATTATGGAGTTTAGGATTAGCGTTCAGCCTAGGACCGGGGATAAAGTTGGTTGTGTGGAGGGGGAGGGGTATTCTGCGGTTTCCAAATTTAGTTTTCTCAAATACCGACCTGATAACGCAGGATACTGTAGGGCACTTGGCAGGAGAGTAGCAGAATGGCGCAGCAGACATACAAGGCATGGCTGGCTGTTTCTGGAAGAACTTCTGTTCTTTCCTCTACGCTCACTTCAACAGTAGAGGATGTTTCTACGGAGGCACCTCCCGTTCCCGAGGGGTTGACAGATGTAGACAGAACCGATGCTTTCACATCAACAGTCCCGTACGAGGTAGATGTTGTAGCTGGATCCGTGGTCGAGGCTACCGAGGCACTTCCAGAGGGGCCGGCTGCTGTAGACAACTTCGTCAGTGTTTTCTCAACAGCCACAACCCCTGCCCTGGTCGAGGAGATGGACTTGATGGTGCTCTGACTAATCAGCTCCATGCTTTCTTCCTCCATGGCTTGGACGGAAGAGCGGAGGTTGGTGCAGCAGGGGCAAATTATTGACAGTTTGGTCATAATGGCACCGGCTGCTTCTCTCGTCACCTTCGTAGCTACTGTCTCTCCTGAAAATCGGGAAAATGATTAATCAGTTAAATACGATTAACCTAGATACTACTCTGCATGTTAGTTCGGATTCAAAGACACTAGCACACTACCTTTGCTCTTGACTTGGCAAATTCAACTGCTCTGATGTAGCCGTCTGTCTGCGTCTCCTCACACATTCAGGTATTGTGGCTTTGTTTCAGAGTCATAAAGCAAAAAGAACAACCTTCCCGTTCGTTCTACACCCATGCGGGATGAAATAAATCGTTTGTTGCCAGCTACTTTATAAATGAGTACCCAAAAATGAAAATCACTGTTGTACAAAGCAAGCCTGCAAATTGTTTAAATTTATACCTAGAACTTTCTGTCCATGCATTTTCTTTCCAGATTTATAAAATAGAAAATGCACTAATGAAAAGAATATCGGTGCCAATTTTGCAAATCTGAAAAGTCCTGCATGTGAAGAAAATGGTAATAACATGATATAAACCTCAGATGAAGATAAAGGATCCGTAAATCTTCAACTCATTCAAAAATAGAAAACTTTAAAGCATGGAGGCATTAGACCTCCCTGCGAGGTCACTGGCAGGTTGTTATTTCATCAAATCAGCTCTCAATTAACTTAAGAAAAGGGCATCATGGGGGATCAACGGGTACAGCTTATGCATGATTGGCTGTATAGAGAGCGCAAGTAGCTAATATGATAAGTAGTGCAATGGGGCTTTAATTTGGTAAACTCACTGTGATCGGTGTTCAGATGAAATTTCTTTCGGCAGTAGAACAAGCAGTACATACTGAGGAGTTTAAACGCCAGGGTAGATAGGTATCCAGAGAAGAAGGATATGTTGAGTTGGATGAAGGCTAGGCTTGTGACAGCAAGCAGGTTAGCACTTCGTACCGCCATGTAAATGCTAAGGAAGGGGTGAAAAGAAGTAATTTGATAAAACCCAGGGATCAGATTTATTTTTAGATATGAATTAACTGTGTTTTTTCCCCCTGAATTAGAATATGTTTTTTTGTTGTTGATTGAATTGATTTCTGCGTTCAACAACGGAATACAAATAATTGAATATGACAGAAAAATATACAAGTCATGTATATATCAACACATCTTTAGACATTTAACAAATAACTTTTAAACACATATAGAAAATACACCTGTGGGACACTAACATTCTTTGCAAAATTTGTGAACAAAAAATGTGGGCTAAAGTGAAAAAGAAAAGAAATGATAGATGTATATAAAGTAACTGTTCCTTATTCTATGATCAGATATTAGTGAAAAGATAGAAGTAGGTCTCATACATTATATTGGTTATACAGACTGAGCTGTTGCCATGTCAGGCAAATCTCAAATAAAGCACTGCCCCTTCGTCTATAACCAAATAAGAAGAAAGGTAGACCTATGTTTCAAATGTAACTGGCATTGGGACTGAGCTGTTGCAATGTCAAGGAAACCTCATGCAGTACTCACTAGTGAAAGCAACTTTGGACGCTCGCCTTACCATACATCTGAACCAACCTGCCTGCCAAGGGTGGGGCCGTGGTGTTGATGCCGGTGACTCCCAAACTGATAATGACTCGAGCTGTGTAGAAGACGATTCGACGAATTGGGATGGATATAACATAGGAGGGGCCGAAGACGGACCAACTGTAGGTAAGCAGGGGTAAGATGAGGGTACCTAGGAGAAGAATATGCTTTTATTAAATTATTGTTCTGGTGTACTGGAACTCATTGGACATGTCAATCAAACTGCTGCCCAATTTAAGCACTTTTAAATATCACTTGAAGATAAACTTCTACTTCAGTATGAAAATGCTTAAGAAGGTCATCATGATGGAGTTATCATCACTCGTTGTTGGCTGCACCAAACACCCGTTTTTGTTCTTCTTCAGTGTTGTTTTTCGTTTTTATATATTTTGTAACAAATGTAGGCCTATTATATACAGGTAACCTTAATCAAAGCATAATGTTGATGCTGCAGATTATTGTTAGCATCATTTGTATTTAATTACTTGCATAAAATCATTTATTCTGTCGAATATATGTACATGTTTTGTTACCTTGTATATGCGTTGCTTTGAAAATTCTTTAAATATGCAGTTAATGTGGAAATAAAACCTTTAAATATATATATATATATATATATATATGATTTTAGTTCCCAGGGCAACCTCGTTTGTTATACTCCTCGTCCTGAAGGTATTGCAATTGCTATTATGGCAGTTTAATAATTGAAGAAAACAAATGTCATCCACCAATTTCGTATTTAGGACACCTTGAATTGGTCGAGAGGGACAACGTGGGTAAAACATTTTGTCCAGGGGTGTAAGCACCGAACACGCATCGAATTCCAGATATCTCGTATGAAGGTAGAGACTCGAGAGCCCTCATCAATTGTGTTCTAGTTTGTTTCCAGTTGAAATTGGATTACTTATCGTCATTTAAAACCTCTCTAAGTGTTGAGAGCCTAAAATTTGTCAACAAAGTATGACAACAAAAAAACACATTTTAATTGTATATTGATGTAAAAGAGGATATCATTAAACACACCCTTCTGCAATGATTTTCAAAGCAATTGCGTTTGAAGACGAATATTGATGAAAAAATACCATATTTAGGTTTCGTGTTGTACGCAGAAAACCACAGTTTTGTATTTGTTCGTTAATATTCATCTTCAAACATATTTGTTTTAAAAATCCTTGCAGAAGTGTGTGTTAAGTGATTTCCTCATTCGCATCATTATACAATTTAGGTGTAATTTTGCCATCAAGTTTGTGGGGGCTCCCAATATTTTAAAGAGGCTTTAAGATTGTATTATTACAAATAAGTTTCATTTCTATTTTATCATTTGTTGATGTTTTGAATGAGTTATGGAAATAAATTTATTTGAATTGATAATTGAATTAAAGTGGGGTTTCCTCCCGCCATGCCTCCAGTTAATAAAATTGATTGACTAAAAACCCCAGCTATATCTGTCATTCCATGGGTTATTTTACCCACTCCAATCGCAGCATGATCTAATTTTGTCGAGTCGCCCAAACATGAATGATGAATAACCACACGTGACACGGCTACATGACCTACGCTACCCGCAACATGGGATAATCTTTACCACTGTTGCCAATTGAAATATCATGAGAGAGTAATCAATTACGACCGTCAAAACTAGTCCCCTGACGAAATGCAAGACAAGCACGCAGCTGCTCTTGGCATCCTGAAGCACTCTGAAAAAAAATGGGTAAAACTGTTTTACACGGCATTTACGCCCAATTAACGTAGACAACGTTTTGCTCAATCACGCTTACATTATAGCCATATAAATTGAGCAATTAAGTTGGCCAGATTAGGGTATAGTTTTTTTAATTGAATTGCCCAAAAGCTGCCTAGATTATATTTGGCCTGCGTTTAGTCTACGGAGCCCGTATCCTGCCCGTGTACCCTTTTCCGTGCAGCCTCCGTGCAGGAGGCAGCCCTGAGATATTCGTACGGATTCACGGACTCCGCGGCCTCTACGATTTTATTTTACGGGAAGTTATACAAATTTGAAAAATCGTAAGCCCGTAGCCCGGAGACATGTCGTATGTGGCATTGCACGATCCCCGCACGGGCATCCCGCGGAGGTCTCGTGTTGAGCGTGCAGCAAACGCATGATTTTGGGATGAACATGGGGGCAAAAAATCGCTCAAAAACGGCACGGCGGCTGCACGCTCACCGCGCCTTCTCGCGCAACCTCTGCACAATAGCGGCACGAGCTCCGTACGATTCAGTCCGGAGGCTGCGGATACTGCACGGCTACTGCACTGCAATTGCACGATTTCCGTACAATCTCCAAGCAGCCTCTGTACGAATAATCCCCGGCCTGCCCCCGAGGGCCAATACAAGAAATGGCACGATGCTCGAAGATAATGAAAGCACAAACATCGTAGCCCGTAGCCTCCTACGATGCCCTAAAAATTGCACAAAAAATCGTAGACCAATTTATCGTACGGCGCCAGGGGCAAATGTAATCTAGGCATTAGCGAGCCTTTAGGGACTACAATAATACAATTTACTCACATTTTAAATTAAATTTCTTCTAGATTTTTTTTTTCTGGGGGGGGGGGGGGGGGGGTTGTGATTGTAACAATCCTATGACAGATCGAATTTGCCACTGTTTTTCTTTGGTTTCGGTATAGCGTAATTACAAAACAAATGTCTATTAAAACAAAAAATATAAACGTTATTGTCATCATAATCCGATAATGACATGTTTCTTGCAGAACTGGTAAAATCAATATATGTTTTCAGTAGAAAGATAATGATTTTGAGCAATATTGGACAAAGGAAAGACTTTCATGGCCCTATCGCAACAAGTGCCCCTCAAGTAGATCACTCCAAAGAACTACCCAAAGCTTGCCAAATCAATGAAGAATGTATAAGTCAATATGTAGGCATGTTATTGATATGTGTGAAATTATGATGACATTTTCTCATTGATTCGTACTCACGTATCTATTCCAGTTGTACTATTTCCTCTACTTTTTCGGAGACTAATCTTTACCAGTGCAACTACAGCTATTTTGCACTCTTTTAGTTTGTAATGTCTTGTACACGTCTTGCATTTTGTTTTATTGTGAATTTTAATGTTTTGTATTTTCCACATTTGTCATTTATGTTATGGGTCCACCCACTTCTCTCAAGCCATTGGCTTTATCGGGTGAAAATGATCCAGCACAATTCTCAATGTAAATATATTGTATGTGATTTTTTATGAAATAATAAATTGAAATTGAATTGTCTCTATTTTGATGTCTTTTCGGATCTGATTCTATGGCAAATGCTTCGGTAGCAATTGCTCAGCGGTCAGTCTCGAACACTAATTAACCTAATTACCGATTTCCCAACTTCAATTCAGGACCAATCACTATACCCTACCCTAACTCTTCACTTATACCCAACCCACA